TTAGCTGTTTATCAAGCAAGTTGTTATTTCGCTAACGCTTAAGTATCTTCGAAGATTGTAGCAGGATGCATTGCTGCATGAAATAAAAAAAATCAATTCTGCGAACAATGGTGTATCTAAACAGGTATTTCTAGGGCGTTCAGCGCGAAGGGAATGAGGGGAATGATTGTCAAGTAACCCACGTTTGAAAGGAAATCAGAGCCCACGAATCTTTGTGGAAAGTGTGCAAGCCTTGACAACCAGCACTAAAGAAGAGTTGATAGATCGTGAAACAGAACGGGTTACGCTGAATTGTCGAGAGTAAAGTCAGAAACGAGCGAAAGTAAACAGTGTAAGATGGTTGACAAAACTGAAAAGAAAAAGCTTTTTCGATCCAATTTAGCGTCAACGTTAATTATGAGAATACAAATTATCAAAGTGGCTTAGCAAGAAAGTCTTTCTGATTGGACAACTCAATTCAAAAAGTGATATGAAATCAGTGTATTGCAGTGAAATGATATCATCATAGTCACGACTTCATTACCCTGATATCTACAATATGTAATGATACTTGTTATTATTATTACGAGGGAGCGTATGTTTTCGCCTTTCATCAAAAGTCAATCAGGTAATTGCGTAATAAGGTGTCTTTTCGTTCTTCTACGAACAAAAGCAGTTCGCTACTAGAGATTTACTTAATATCTGGCAGTTATGAAATAAAAATCAGATCTTGAATGATGGACAATTTTTTCCCATTTTCATAAAATATTAAGTTGTGGTAGGAAATTGTGATACCTCATAGAACCTTATAACATCAAATAATAAAGATGCGAATAATATTGAAAGTTTATAACCGGTAGTATCCCAACCATATTTAACTATAAATTAAAAGTAAAACAAGAGAGTAAATGTCACTGAAATTCAATCAGTGTCCTGGAATAACTCGGCGATGATAATTACATGTAGATTCAAAGTTTAAGAGATCTTCACAAAGCAAATTTTGCCATGAAACAGCAGCTTCACAAATTTTCTTCCTACAAAAAAAAACAAATTTCTCCTCTTACTTTTCTTGTGGCTCTTGTTCAACCTGCATTCAGGGGTTTCCATAGTTGATGACACCCAGACAATAACAATCAGAGACGATAAAACTTTCGTGACAGATTCCTTCATCGTTCGCAAGAATGAGAAATTCTCCAAAACTTTTTCAACAATAAATAGGTAACGAAACCTCCTCGAAACTTAAACAAAACGCCGCGTACGATTAGATTATGAGAAAGGATGTCTAGGTTTTCCACCGAAAATGCCAATCCAATGGGACTCGAGTTCACCTAACTCATCTCCTATCGTAATGCTGTCATCCTCTTGAAACATGACACTTCGATGAATCATTGGCGACAGTCGTCAGGAGAATCTCCTTCAGATGATGAATTTCACCACCAGTAAGAAATTAAACCTTCCTGCTTAAGATTGCAATGTTAAAAAAAATGCTAAATGAAGCTTGGAACTATTGATGAAAATTCTTTTAAAAATTCTCCAAAATGGAATTTTAGCATTGAAAAATCACCGGTGAAACCTTTTAAGAATCCGTCAAAAGTAATCTAGCGAGACATCACTTTTCAAGAACAAGGCTGGTGTCTGTTAAGATACTTTTAATATCTTAGTTATTGGTTTTTGACTTATCGTGAGGTTTGCATCACCAGATATTAATTTTCTTTGTTCCTTTGTGCCTTTTATGAACAAAGATGAGGTTTGTTGCGATCTACATTGCAAATTCATACTTCTTAATACTTTTTATTGTGTTATCATCACTGTACCCTTACATCATAAACAACGCAAAACTTTGAATAAGTTATGACTATAGTAAACGGCTATCAGGCCATCCAAGTGGTAATTAGGAAAGGGAAGACCTTAAGGTGAAAGGGAGTAGCATATTAAAATTAATATACGTTTATTCTGAGCTGTCGTTCAGCTTCTGTGGTTGCCATATGCAATAAACTTTTCTGCGGCCAAGAAACCCTGTAAATACCCGGAAATTGATTAATATAAAGCAAGTAACAGTGGTATCTAATTTTTTCGAGCGATCGATGCTAAGGATCAAGTAATACAAAAACAGGAGAACGAAACGAAGGCGGACAAATATTCGAAATACACTAAAACCAGCCAATCACAGCGGAGCATAGTGCCCACTTAGTTTAAGGAAACACATAATAAGTCGAACCCATTGCCTGAGGAAGTCTAGTATGCACTTGGGAAGAAACTATAAATTGAGACAAGCAACAAATGCTTTATAATAATTTATTTCACCACGATCGATAGCCGTACTCTTAAATGACTTTCTTTTTTTGTTCTATCCACCCGCTGCTGCTTGAGGAAGCTGTGCAGCATTGTTATTCACGCAGTTTGCAAGTCCTGGAAACAGATTCACTTCAGGTCCACCTAAGCCACTTCGGGTGACATCGGTTGTGAGGATGTTTTGAAGCTGGGCAAGGCTTATCTGACTTATGAAGGGCAGCTGGTTTGCATCGTTATTTCCAATCACCGCAAAACTCTCTGCCTGGCCATTTGGAGCCACGCAACAACCAGCGGTCCACATCGAAATGGGGATAGTAATTGATGGGTAATTTTGGACTGGACCTAGTTGGTTAGGTTGTAGTAGTGTTACTTGCAATTGGTTGTTCTGAACCTGAACGAAAGAAGTGCCAGTTAACAGAAAGAGCACTCTATTGTTCTGCACACAGGTGTTTTGGGCATAAATTCGTATTTTCCTTTCATATTGGGACCACTGACCGCCGTTAAAAGCTCCTACTTGTGGAACGGCGTTTGTGTGTCTGTAGGTTGAGCATAAGCGCTCTTCAGAGCTCGAGTAAGTTTCTGCTGGGACTAAGTGACCCTTTTGAAACGGTTGATTCTGGTAAATGTTGTCGCTGCCTTGCCTCAGTATACCTTAAAGAGTCAAGTTTGATATGTCATTTTATCATACCTAAGTTCGGCTTGCTCCAAAAACATGAGTAAACATTGCACTTATATCTTTTCATGTGATGGTAACAATGTCATCCAGGTAACTGTATTTATCAAAATTACAGTTTTACGTTTCACGAACGAACATTTAAGATCCTCTTATTTTGGCAGATTAAGTGTTTAGAGCTATAACTTTTCAACGTCAAAATGCCAGGGGCACCCTCCCTACTGTCAAGTCAGATATTCACAGATCATCGGCGATAATAGAGCGAAGAAGGACGCGGGAGATGGGGGGGGGGGGGGGGGGGGGGGGTATTTCCAATCCCTATTCCTCAAAAAATTCAGTGTATTGGATCGTCACAATTTGCAAAAAGAATCCTACACCTTGAGCAATTATTTTTTTCAACGATAGTTCCTTCATCCCTACCTGGTTCTCTCTTCCATCCTCTTGTTCCCCCTGGCGCCTGACCAAAGTTAATTGTTCCTTGATCCAACTTGTACCCGGCATACACTGCAATTCCCTGATTTTCATCGAACATTGTGGCGTAAAAGACATCTTGACTACCTGCTATTTGTTGGCAGATGTATCTTATGCTGTTCAGATTTTTTCGGAGACCTGCTGGAGGTTGGTTATTCACAAAGAATTGTCTGAAGCAAGCCTGGTAAGGATCATGAACAGATCTCCGGAATAATTTGATATGGTTTTCCTCTTGCTCAGTGCTGTTTCTTAGGACTGCACGACCATTGGCACCTGACGAAGTAAAATTGAGACCTGAGAAATCACACTTGTACCAGAGACAACATATTGACAGAACGAAGCTTTATGTCTTACAGAGCAACTCGCACTAATCAAATATCGCCGAATATCGTCGGATGGACCAACAGGACATACAAAAACGAACGTAAGCTGACAGTTTTACAGCTTCAATGTCAAAAAATGCGGATTCTTTTTCGGGAACGATGCTCACTTAAAACTAATTGAACAGAAAAGATTGTCAGCAAGTGTATCACACAAGTTATTCAAGACTTTTATCCAAACTTCTCAGTAAACAAAGCAGATGGACGTTAATAATTGTAGCTGTCGTACAGATGCGTTGAATATCATCAGTCCAAAATGTGCATGGATAAGAAGGTAACGAAATAAATTGTGGATATTTTTCAGGGCTGAATCTTAATTCTTACTTTTTCACCTTTTATTTTTTTCGCTGATCATCACGAGCTTATCTATTGAAGTCTTGTGAGCGTCCAACTCACTGAAAAGAACCAAAACCATGCACAGAACTACCGCAAACGAAAAATAGTTCAATTGTCCGTAGAAGAGAGTATTTATAACTTAAAACGTCATTGTAGTTAGCCGATGTTGGCTTCTCAGAGATACATCAGTGGCCCGAGAGATTCACTGATTGATGATTGCTCCTCTACCTGTTGCAATTATTTTGTTCAGCAGTGGTAAAGGAATTTCATTTTAAAGGGAAGCATTATAAACAAAAAGAAACCTAATGAACAGCGAATGCCTTTAGCGTAAGATATCGAGCTGATATGATCCTAGCACGTGTTCTATTACACTACAACCCTCTTCATCTGACATTTCAGAAATCTTCTCTTGGTTATCTTACTTTTTTAGCATAACTCAATTTGGAATTGTTGTTGGCGCTAAAATGGATTTGCCTTTTTAAGAGAGAAAGTTTGGATTGGAAAACTGTCTTGATAATGCTCAGCGCTCCAAATTTATGATATCTCTTAATAAATGAAAGCTTCACAGGAATATTCAAAATCGTATCGCTTACTTTTACTCTCCATGTGTAATCTGTAGGCCGCAATGATGGAGATTATTACCTCAATAACAACGAGTGATGATAAAACATTATAGACGGACTCTTTCATCCTTAATAATAAGGTTACTCGCAATTTAAAGTGAAAGGAAAATATTTGCGAACACCAAATTTAGGAAACAGTGCGCCAAGGAAAGATTAAGGTAACTTATGAAATATAGGTCAAGATGACCTGTTTGATGTTAAAAGTTGTGAGTTTTTTTACGAGTCAGGGTTCATAATCCAATCATATTTGATTGCGACTCTTATTTCTGACAACGTATTATTAAATAGTTAATGAATTCTCACGATGTAGTCACGTGTGATGTAGATTGCGACGTTTCGACTGCATACTGCTAGTCTTCTTCAGGCGATGAGGTCGACTGGTAATGCGTGTTCTTATAAAGCATGATGCTCTGCTGTGATTAGTTGTTTTTTTCAACAACTCTGATTAGTGCATTTCGATCCTTGCTAGTCACTGAGTGGTGTGCTCCCTCGGCGGTCTGCTGTCGCATGGCTCTCCTGTTGTTGTGTTTTTTGATCGTGGGCATCTACGATTCAGAAATTTCTATCTCGCTATCCCTGTTGATGTTGTTAGGGTGAGGTCTTATATGAATTGCCTCTTTGACCCTGCGCGTGTAGTAATAAGGGTCACGATCAATAAACTTTACTTTGTTCCAGAGTGGCTTGTGTCCGGTGTTTTGGGCATGCTCTGAAACGGCAGAGGTCTCGGTACGGGCGAGTCGAATGTCTCAATCGTGCTCCTTAATTCTGTCTAGCATAGGTCTCCAGTCTCTCCGATGTACACATCGCCGCATTCATAGGGAATCCTGCAAACTACGCCATCTTGTTTAGCCGTGTCGAGAAAGTCTTTTGATCGTACTAACTGAGATCTTAGCGTAGTCTCTGACTTGACAACAGCGCGTACGCCATGTTGTTGTAGGCAATGGCAAAGCTGTTCGGACAGACCTTTGACATAAGGTAAAACCGTAGTCGCTTTGAACTCGTTGGCGGGTTCGGCACTGTTGTTCGGTTTTCCGGTCTTGGTTAGTTTCTGCAAGAAAGAAAAAGGATAACCATTAGAAACCAGAACAGATAACACTGTGAACACAGTGCAGTGGCGCCGTCTTTTTGCTCGTAAATCGATCCGTTATACTGGAAGTACGTGAATCTCGATATGACATCAAAAGGTCAGCGACCTGAGCAGGCGTTAGCGTGGTGCGGTCTGGCTGAGGAAATCATATGCAAAGGTGCATATGATTTATCCGCTTACTTAGCCAATATCTTGTCTCCTTTAAGAGGAAAGTCAGATTACACGGTGACAAGTTCAGCCCACTTCGTATCCACCGTCAGCAATGAAACGATCCTAGACGACGAGATCATGGTATCTTTCGACGTAGAATCGCTGTTTACCAACGTTCCTATCGACGCCGTTGTAGAAGCCGCACTGCAGAAAGTCGAGAACGATCCAAGCCTTGCAAACAGCATCACGCTAACGCCTGCTCGCCGGTATCGAGACCTCTGCTGTTTCAGAGCATGCCCAAAACACCGGATACAAGCCCCCCTGGAACAAAGTAAAGTTTATTGATCGTGACTTCACCCTAACAACATCAACAGGGATGGTGAGAGAGAAATTCCAGAAGCGTAGATGCCCACGATCAAACAACAGGAGAGCCGTGCGACAGCGGACCGCCGAGGGAGCAAATCACTAAGTGAACAGCAAGGATCACAATGCACCAATCAGAGCTGTTGAAAAACAACTAATCACAGCAAAGCATCATGCTTCATAAGATCACGCATGACCAGTCGACCTCATCGCCTGAAGAAGACGAAAAACTTAGCTTTTATTGTTATTCACCACGATGAATAACCACTACCTTTTCTACGAAATTAGTTGATGACTGTTCGTTAATCTTAATTTCGTAAACCTTCTGTATTCTTTTTATTTTGAAATGACTAAACCAGTCAAGCTATGGATGCTTACTTAGAAAGAAACAATTACCTGTAGAAGAGATTCAGAAAATTCCGAGAATTCACCGATATTTCTTCAAAAAAAGCGCTTGAAAAATATGACAAAAATTTAAGTAGCCGATTTTGTAATGCTTAATAACTTTCAGTGGAAATGTTGTTATGGGAAATTTATTCGACTGCTGTTCTTTCAGTTGCACTCTTAATCACAGGAATTTTTTATTAAGCTGATGATAGGACAGAAGTGTTGTTCTTTAGTCATGCATTTAAACCAATGTTTTTCGCTCAAATTGACATGTTAGCTTCATTTATTATTGTGTGTGTGTAACCGTCAGAGCGCGCGAAATACAATTTCTGATCACGAGTTGTACAACGTCGTAAAAATTCATGAAAAAGAGGAGAAATAACATAAGACAAGTTAAACTTGACAAACTTGTTTGGCAAACTAGATTGAATTCATTCACTAAGTCCAGAGAAGTGATTTTCTATTCCCAGTCCCTCACAAGTGGTCCTCTAAAAAGAAGTGAAGAGAAATCGGAGACACCCTCTATCTCTTGATTAACGTCATTTTATCGTTTGGAGTTTGCGAGCTTTAAAAACTCCGGGATAAGCCATAGATATGTATATAATTCAGCAAAATGTTCACTCGCATTTTATGTTAAACCATTAAATAAGGGATTTACTTTAACCATCGTTTATTCCTTTCATACAGGTTGTTTTATCTAAATTGGCCGATCATCAGCGACGCAGCTCTCGTTGTCATACGACGTCATACAATGCTATTGCTCACTCTTCTCCGTTTGATTCCTCCAAGTTGAACATGGTTGGCATCATTCATACAACCCTGGAATGCTGGAAACAATTTGACTTCATCCCCTGTTTTGCCTCTCGCTTTATCCGTTGTTAATGCCTCTTGCAAAGTAGACATGAGCAGTTGACTAGTATACAGCTTTCTTGGATCTTCTTCGTTGTTTCCAAACACTGCAAAATTCCCCACGGCAGCACCACCTCTGACACAGCAGCCGGCAGTCCATAGAGAACTGGGAACCGTTATGGCAGGGAATCCAGGAAGATCTGTATTAGCCAGTTTAAGCGCTTTACTTGGCTTTTTGGCCTTAAATTGGTCTGTATCTGGATTCCGACGCACAAATGAGCTTCCAGTTAAGAGATATAAAGTTCCATCATTCTTAGTACAATGATTCACTGCATAGTCGCGTATCCTTTTTTCATACTGGGACCACTGACCACTGTTAAGCACTGGTCGCTGTGGCACCGCATTCGTGTAGACGAAAGTGGATCGAAAGCCGGCACCACTATGGCCGGTATCTGATAAAGTATACGCGGGTGCCAAGTGCCCTCGGTGAAATGGTAGGCTGGGATAGATCTCGTCACTTCCTTGTTCCTCAATGCCTTAAAAAGGAAATTGAATTATGTCATAAACATCCACCGTAATGTTAAGAATATAGATATTGCTGTTGTGGACGCCAGCTAAACCAAACTACATCAAAATACGCCAGACTCAAACCAAGGAGACCGAAAACGGCAATCTACAGCAAGTACAAAAAATCAGAAGCTACACCAAACTACACTATCTACTCAAAACAAAACTGAACCGATTTTTAGCTTAGAGAAAGGGTTAAAACAATTCCTTTATAATAAAATTAACTTGATATCGGAAGCTTGGATAAATACCTTCGGTTTGTCTCCATTTTGGGCGTGTCCATTCTTTAAAGTCCACGTTATCTTCCGTGAGAGTGTAAGCCGAGAATACTGGAATTCCAAATTGCTTGTCGAACATTGTGCCATAGTGGGTTCCATCACCGTCTTCTCGTAAATCTTTTTGACAGATGTATCTTATTTTGAAATTCATTGGATCTCGCAAACCTACTGGTGGTTCATTTCCCGCAAAGTTTTTTCTGTAGCATTCGACCCCATTGCCAGGGTAAACAGTTTTTCGGTTTCCTGTGATATCTTGCCTGTTACCTGGTGGAAAAACTAAAAAACAAAAGAAACATTCAAAATGAAATCTGCTCTCAAGATCCTCTGGTTTTGTCTATGCGAGTAAATAAGTTATCTAACACCGTAATCGTGGTATTTCATGGATCATCCCACCTGTCACTTGTATGTCAGTTTTCCTGATATACAAACTCTCCCACAGGCTTGTCTGCATACAGAGAAAATCCAAATCATTCTTGAGATATTTCATGATATTGTGCTGAAAAGTGTTATATGCGTACTAATTTTTAACGAACATCTAATGCGAATAAAACTACATAGCGAAGGACCTATCTATCGCACAGACTTTAATATTCAAAGAGCCCCATGGCGAGTTTTTGAACATTCTTCTTGACTTATTTCTCTTCAGGAAAAGAAAATCATTTCAATCAAGAGTTTTATTCAACTAAAAAAGTTCCCTGCACTGGGACCATCCACTGAAAACTTCAATTTTTGCTGACATTATCTCACACAAAGACCACTCACCGAAAACTTAAATCTGTGCTGAAATTATTTTACGCTATGATCTACATTTGATAATTCGGAGGAGAACGAAATAGAAGACTCTGATAACTGTTATAACAAGGGAACAATGGGCAGTTCTTTTACACAAGAAGTTGATTTCTGGCGGATATGGTTGCAAAAAGACCGTAAAAAATGGTGATAAATTCCACGGCGATAAAAGACAAGAACAGCCAGTCAACGATATAAAGGTAAGGTTTACCTTTCTTCAATCTGGACTTTATTGTTCCTATTATTTCAATTAGCCTTCCATCTTTTATGCGATTTCAGTTTTTAAACGTGAGCAGTTGCTTATCTTACCCTTTTTCAGTTTCCTTTGTAAGGGGTTACCATCTACGACATCAGCCGCCATGAGTCCTAAGATTAGCAGGACGTGTAAAATCTTCACGTGGAATACCTCCATCATAGCATCAGAGTCAGCAGGCGAATATAGGAACCTTCATCAACTGCCTAAAACGAATGGGAAACACCTGGCTTTAACAAGTATTTTATGGCTACAACGTCCTCATGTAAGTTTGCAGGTTGAACGGATCGTCCAATAGCACAGCCAAAGTCTCAATATAGCTGGTATTGTGAAGCTAATTGAGTGCTTTTATTCCTCATAAATTAAAGCTTGTTTTCTCCTTTGTGTAATTTTAAATCAGTTCTTAACTATTGAAAACCACCATAAAGACCTTTCAAAGAGCTTCAAATTGTCAAGTTTTTGAAAATGTTCAATATATTTGAAAGCTTTTTTAAACATTGTTTCGACAGAACCTAGTGAGTGGACAAAACTATTTCAGAGAAACAAACGATCCAACTTTTCCCAAAGAAAAAAAATAGTTTAAAAAAAGGTACGAAGGCGCCGAGAGTACAAATTCTGTTGATAACTCTAAATACAACTGAATAGAGTTTGAACTACAGGTCTGAAATTTTAAATGAAGTACCCGTTTAAAGAACCTTAATGAAGCAGATAAACATAAAATTCACTTCTTGCAAAACTTACTGACAGTATAACTACCAAATTTCACCTACAACTAACAAATTTTTTTTGTAGCTGTTGTTTTAAAAAAATGGAATTTTTTCATTAGAAGATTTTGGAATGCCTTGTTTCAAGACCCAAAAAATTCTTTCGTGGTCCTTTGAAGAGTGTTATCTGGTTACCTATTGCAAATTGATAAGTTAGTTGGAGGAGCTTTACCTTTCTCTTTGATATATCCAGGTGAAACAAGATATATTAATACAGTGAAGTGTATAACCACATTTCACATATAGACAAAAGGGGGTTGCTGCGTAGGTGGGAGAGTATAGCAGAGTAATTTAGTACTATTAACTGAGTTGATAACGTAAATTGGCCACCGTATAGAGTTTAGAAGCTGACCTTTCGAGCTTAAGCCCTTCGTTAGAGCGATGAACGAAGGACTAACGCTCGAAACGTCAGCTTTTAAACTCTCTACGGTGGCCAATTTTAGTTACCAACCCAGTTAATAATACAAAATTACCACATTTCACCTTCCACATATGACCGATACGACAACTCTCCCATCTTGCTAGAAAGATACTGTACTGATAACGCAGACATTGTCCGGGGTGACTAGCCCAGTTTAAACCTTTAAAATTATCTCAAAATCGTTTTGCACAGGAGATTGAATTAGAGTAACTGACATTAGCTGATACCTTGTTAAAATTGCAGCGGGTACCATTGTATAGATAGCGCTTTGGGCACACTGCAATTAGAAGGGCAATACCAGAGCATTTTGATGCGTTCAGAGCTGCCCTGAGCCTTTTGCGTGTAATGATACGATATCTGTAAAAATGGTTTGCTCAGAGCAGTGCTTAGAATCGTATAGCTTACGTAATTAGTATCTTTGGGTAGTCTGTGACCCGCAGTAATTGTCAATTTCATAAAAAGGAAAAAACATTGAGTAAACCATAAGCCCTCTAATAGGCCCTTCCATCCTAAAGAACAAGTTTTCTTACAAAAAAGGAAAGAAGCCTTCACGAAAACAGGTTTCGAGACAAAGACTAACCCGAGACCTATGGGTCAAGTGCACCTGTTTGCGGTTAAAAAATTTGAAGATTTTACTTGAGGCCATTACTTCTGACTAAAGGACCGGTAATCAGTTGTGGCTTACGACGAG